TGTGAGGATGTCTACAAAGATAAATTAACAGCCTTGTATCCTGACAGCAGCCACTCATCATCTGTCAGCGTGAAGCCCATCCCTCCCTATATCTGTAAATGGTTAATGGACAGTATTCATTTGACGGCCGTCTTAAAGACCACTCAAAGCACTGTGTTTGTGGTGCAGGTCACATTCACACACACACACACACACATTCATACATGACTTTTCTATCATATATTCAAACACTGACGGCACAGCTGTCAGGGCTGCCCAAGGACACTTTGACATGCAGACTGGGGATCGAACTGCTGTCGATTAATGACAGACCCACTCTAATCCCTGAGCCACAGCCGCCTCTTTGGATCACAGGAAATATTCCACTCTGGAACAATGAACGACTTACTGAAAATAATGTATGGAGAAGCCCTCTCTGACAAAAACTGTCTGTTTTTGTCCTGTAGCTTTTCTTCTATACAGACAAACATATGTTCCCAAACTAGCATTTATTTGGCAACAAATTCAGAACGGATTAAATTGATTTATCAACCTAAAAGTTCTTTTCTGTCTCACTGCTAAAACAAGTCACATTTAAGGTCTCTGTGTTGCACTGGCTCTAAGCTGTCATTTCCAATCACTGACCGCTGAGTGTGATCAATGATTGCCTCCAGCAACAGTAGTTTCTTAACAGACCAAGTCCACCTGAATGAAATGAAACGTATTTGTCAAGGCTAAACATCAATAGCTTCCATTGATTTATTGATTTTTTTTTTCTTTTTCTTAATGAGCACACATTCTCTCATCTCTAAATACCCCCCTCTCCACAACACCCACGCACACACACATGAATGCACAAATGCACACTTAAGCAGGAGTCACCATACTGAGGCGGTTGACATGGCAATCTTTCCTGAGGTCTCTGAGGACTGCAGAGTCAAACAGGGGAAGAAGTAGTTCCTCAACTGTAGCACATATTTCCTCATATTATGAACAGTTTTATATCTGTGTTTTGTCCTGATGCTAACAATGTTTAACATTGTATTTCACTTTATTATAAAAAGTGATTTTTAGATTAAAATCAACCAGGCCTGCAAACCAATTTAAAATGTATGTATAGGAAATTATATAAATAATACTTTAATATCTTATCACCATAGTTGAGTTTTATTGAACTAACAAATGCAAAATTAACTATCGCTTATGTGATTAAGTGTTTATTGGCAAAAATCTGTAAAGGTCTCCTCTAATGAAAATCAATGTTTTCCCCTCGCTAATATGACATTTCTTTAATTGCATGTGATACAAGACATGAGAAATAAATAGTGAATGTCATTGCTGAGTATTTTGTTTTAATATCTCAAAAATACAGACGATCAGGGTTTCATACATCACATTTCTATGGAACCAATCCTGTCATTTCAGAGGTCAGACTAAACTATTTAGTGTCTTTTTTACACAAAATAGTTTTTTTTATAAAAGTTAAGGACAAAAACATTTCTAAACTTGCATTATTTGACACACAAGGCTGCATTTTGTCGGAAGCGGCAGGAAGAGCACGAAGCATGCAGCCACCGCTCCGGCTGTTGACGGTTCATTCCCATTCTGTTTCCCAACTTATTTGTGCGGGAGAATCAATTTCAAGCAGCTGTCTTCATGTTCCGGCAGACTTCCCGAAATGAGAATAAATAAACATATTCAAAGTGACAACCTGGTTGCCTGTCTGCGAAAGCAGCAGCTATGCTCGGATCGAATCGGCAAATGAGACTGGCCGGGGCCCTTGATTGGAAGACAGGTGGAACTAAACCGTGTCTGTTTTTTTCCTCTCTCTCTTTCGCTGTGCAGCTGTTTAACTTCCCAACATGGTGCTGCCCACAGTCCCGGCTCCTCTCCTCCTTTTGTCCTAGTTTCTATTTTATATTCAAATAGAGTGAAGAATGAATAAAAATGAAAACCTCAACAATGTTTGAAATCATCATGAGGCTGGTATGTTTTAAAGCTGCAGTGCAGAGGATATATATCTTGCTTTATCCTGCGAGTCCTCTACATTATGCTAGTAGAAATAACCTGACCTTGGAGTGTCAGTCAGTTTAGTGTTTCTGAAAGTAATCTATCTATTGATCTGTGCCACTTGATAAATGTTGTAAGCTTATACATGGGAGTTGAAGGACAATGATGACTTTCAGCTGAATAACTGTTTAATGGTGCAGACTTTAAAATGTTTCATTAATATACCGATTCATTTGTGAATGGGTTAGACGTGTCAACACAATGAATCCCATATAGACTGGTGGTTATGAGGGTCCGTGGTAGTACGCATATAGGTAATCTGTGCTTGAGTTCAGAGTGGGGAAATGCAAATGAGGCCCACTTAGGTCAACCGGGTCCGTCCCACGTTAGCAAACCTAAATGACAGCCTGTGCTGGTGGGTGGGTTAGACATGGCCAACACAATTAATCCCCTATAGGCAAGTAGGCTTTTATTTGTGGGTTAAACACAGGCCAAACTAAGTCTGTCTTTATGGATCCAAGGTTGATCAGCAATGGGTCAAATAATACATAGGATCAGGGTGTGCATTTGGGCACAAACTGGTCAAACCCAGTGTAGCTTTCTTTTCATGTTCATGTCAGGAAATGTTTTGTGGAAGAATAAAGAATTATAAGTGAAAAAGGACATTTCCAAAAGGACTCAACAGGTTCCCTGAACATGAAAATGAAATCAAATCTGTGAAAGCCCTCCAGGATAAAGAACTAGTTGACTGAGCTGTTAGCTCCTAGTTTTGTCTTAATTATTTGTCGGCAGCGTGAAAAGAAAATATTAATTTTCTAACCCCCTATTTAAACCCACTGAGATGTGAAGTGAATGAGTAAAGTGGCAATTTCCTAAACACGTTATTTGATTTCATGCTTCCGCTGATTTAGGTAATAACACCATTTGAGTTAAATGACCTAAATTGAATTAGATTGCTCCCCCAGAGGGTGATTAACTTTTTTTTTTACTGTTGTTGAATGAAAATTATTCTGCAAAGCCTGCTGAGCTCTAAATAACATTCATAAATACACTTTATACACCAGGCTACAGTACAGTACTCACTACAGCAATGTGTTACTGAGACAGAACAGATTAAATAAAATTATCTGTAGTATGAGTAGCAATTAGAGTCGATGAGGAGTTGTGGTAATTCAAGACTTGGCCACATCACTTCATTTCAACATTTAAAAGAATTTAGAATGGTCCAACATCGACTCAAATAATTCTAATCATTTGATGGTTTAATTTTGCAGTATTTATTTTATTTTTGCAAATGTCTGGGAAGTTATTTCTGTTTGATGTAAAGGTGAAATGTCATATTATTGATCATAGAATCATAATTGGTTGAAATAGTGTCGTGGCATGCAAAGCTGATGAACATTTCACTTAGTTTGATCCCTCTGCCTTTAAGTGTGTTGAGTCCCAGCCCGACCAGACTACATTCTTTTTGAAATTCAAACATGACGTTCGTTCACTGATGAAGTAACAGATGGCAGCAGATTTTTTGCGTGGCTGAACATAACTTAACCCTCTCACCTCTTGAAACAATATGTTCATGAGAGGTGATTGCTCAAACACCATGAAGAACAGATGGACTAAATCCAGCACTTTTATTGCCCAGCTGAGCCACTCAAAGTTATCAAAGTGTAGTGAGACGATCCGTTACAGACAGAAATGACATTTTTCAGCTATTTTATAGGAAATCTGGTTACTGAGCTGTTGTTTAACTATATTTTTAGGCTGAGACATTTTGATTTTTAGTCTCCAGTGTGTGATGACAAGCTGACAACATGTTTCCACTTCATCTTGCTATCGATAAAGTTTAAGGTAAAATATTGTGGAACTTAATGAAAGCCAGAGTCTGCAGAAATAGGACTCATGGTGTCACGCTTCAGCTGATACACAAGCTTGACCAATCACAAGTCAGTCTCAGTTGTCAATCATCATCATGATTTCATCCTATTTTTAAAGCATCAAATACACATTAGTGAAAACATCACTAGGATTATTTTACATTCAATTTCAGCCAATAGATCCCTTTCACCTAAACCTTACACACTGGACCTTTAAGCAGACAAATCAAAACAATGTAATGTCCTAACCAGGGGTTAGAAGGTGGCCAAAACAAAACAAGCAGTTGTTCTCTCTTGATGGTAATTATGCTCCTGATGCATGATCAGTCACATGCACGCCAAAGGAGCTTGATTGAAGGACCCTTTTCCTCTGGGATCTAATTATTAATTATCATCTGTCAGGGAAACTTGGGAAAGGTTCAGATTTCATGGATTCCAGTGACCTCGCCTGACGGCAGCTGTTCTGGTGCGTTAAGTGTAGCCAGTGTGTTCCAGTTGACGTGCTCAGAGTGGGGACTTGTCACAGGCGCTGGCGGAGCTCTTCACCTGCCCCGGCACACTGGAGAAACATTATTCATAGCTGCCACTGTCTCATGGCCGCGCACACACAGGATTAAACAGTAGCAGTATGAGTTTAGGTTTTATTGCAGTTACATATTCAAGATAAAGATCCATATAAAAACAATTTGTGATAGCTGTTTTGATCGTATAATATAGGTCACAGGTTGCATACCACTTCATTAACAATGTATAATGTACCACTGAGTTGGTACAGATTCTGTGCAGTCGACCATTTGTGTTAATCAACCCATTAAATTAGCAGTTTATTTAAAAGTTATCACATTCATCCGTCTCACTGATAAATGAACGTGATCCTTTTTTTCTTTTACAGAGATTGTAATTATATCTCGCTGTATCGCAAGAAGATATGATCGAAAGGCATTAGGGGCTGTTCTTTATATTTCATATTAATAAAAGTTTCTCACTTTTATTCATTTGGTCCCGGCTGCTAAAAATAGTCAGGATCCATAGAAAATGATTAATTTGTCAATTAAATGAAGTTTTCTCTCATAAAGGGTGCTGCAGATAATTTACTGATCAGGTCACCATGATGTGTTTATCTCTATTTTCTTCTAGCACAAGTATGAGGCCGTGTATGAACAAGCATGATGATGATGTGACACCAGAAAAGGAAATCTCAGAAACAAAAGGTACAAAACGGTTAAAATGACCTATGTTCATGTTTTCCTGCCAAATATCCTCTTGTGTTTGTCTAATGACCGATGTCCTCATCATAGCATGATGTTGTTACAGTGCAGATGTGAATTTGACATCAAGGAATAACTTTTATCTCCTTTCACCCACACATCTTTTCCAAACCTTAAAAAAGACAATGTGATTGATAAATGTTAAACAATCATTAAACATGGATGAGGCATATCTCGTCTTTTCACCTGTACGCTCTAATTTACACATTACTACTGAAAATGTAAGATTTATCAATATTCATGATGAAACATTACCACAACTTACACTGAGGCTAGTTCAACATAGACTGTGTGTGCAGCCATTTAAAGCCTTCAGAAGAATGGTGAGATAAGAATTTGAGACAAACATTAACATTTTACACACAGGTCCATCATGTCAGCACAACATTAACACAGACATCTGTGCTTCCTGAGTCAGCACGCTCATTTAGACGTTAATGATGTTCTGAGGGCTTTAAGATGGAATGTTTGTTTCCTCTGAAGAAGTGCAAACAAGCCTTTTTGATGTACAAATGAAAATCAGCGTAATAATTTCCTGATTATATGAGTTGACAAAGTCATTATTTTGTCAAATGCATTTTGATGGCACTGTCAAATAATCCTCTTGATAGTGGAGCCGTATAAGAACATGTGCGGTTGTTCTGTCATTCACATAACCAGACATGTATGATAATCAGTTGATGATATGAAGAAACCAACGCACATATTAAAAATGTCTAAAAGACCTGTAGAATACACACAATGTGCTCTTATGAGGGACATTCAATGTAAACTGTTCAATGTAACCCATGTCTACAACTAAAGACATGGTGCATTAAGTTTATTTCATTTAAACACAGACGTGGAGTGCTGGACCCTGATAAACTGACCTGTGTGTGTCCTGCACCTGTTTGTGCAGCGGCGGCGACACCATCTGACACAAGACACATGAGGTGAGTCATTATCACACCGTTGTGCTGTTCAGGTGTTTAATCAGGAGGATTCTTCTCATTTAATAAGGTTAACAAACCTCTGATGACGAACATGACTCGGCCTCAACGTTTTCGCTGACGTATTTCTGCTGTCTCTGTCCGTTGTGTATACAACTTAATGATGGAGCCAGATGTTAATTTGAAAGCGCTGCTGAGTTGTATCACGGAGCAGAAGCTATTGTGGTAATTACCATCTGTTGAGGACCATGCCAGTATGTCGARTTTTTTTTTTTTTTTTTTTATCTCTATGCTGTTGCCATAGCAAAGCAAATTCTTCAACAAAAGCAAACGTGCTATATCCTTTTTGACCAAATAAGGAGAATAGAAGTAAAATTGCATTAAAATAATCTGTTCATACTAATATGAACATAATTACATGAATGACATGTTGCTGCTGTAATAGTAATACCAATTTTTTGTAAATTTGTTTATGTATCCTGTTTTAATGACCTTGCAACAGAGAAGGCAAAGCAAGCAATTGCCTGGGGCCCCGAGATGAGAGGTTTCTAGTTTTCTGACAAAAGAATCATAATGTTACATCTAATTGTGCCGGTATAATGTGGTGGAGGTTTGCCGTATATTAGCATCAAGTGTTGGTCAGTTTGGTTCTATGTTAGGCTCCCCAAGGTCCTTGTAGCCCCAAAGTTAACTTACTGATAATGGTATGGACGTTTTACAAGATTGCTTAGTCCATCAAATAATGCTTAGCTGGATTAAATTGGGCTGTCGCTACAAATAATAAAAGATTTCAAAGTATCAATAAAAAGGAAAAAGTAAATCTCAGATCAGCTTCAGTGATCTGAGAGATTGGCCACAGCACCTCAGCAGATACCAGCACGATCCTCGCTGTAAAGACAGATCACTTTATCCAAAGCCCCTTTACCGGTTGCACTCACACTAATAATGGGATGTGTTGCTTTCCGTCTCGGCGGCTGTCATGTATTGCTTTGATCCGAGCTCAGTGTTTCCTCTGGACCCTAAAATTGGTCTTTGATAGGCTTTAGCTTTGATCGTGTCCTGCTGGAACAGCAGCTCAGCATTTCGAAAAGAAATAAACTAACAAACCTAATCAGCGCCACATCTTTTATCACAAGCATATGTTCTTTTTCTTTTGCATATTACAGTCAGAGTCAAAAAAGAGACATTGAAAGTCATGGTGATTAATACTGTCCCCCTCTCTTCACCAAACTTTCTAGAATTCAAACCCGTTCTCTTCCAGGTGGTTGTGGTTAATTGTGGAAGGTGCTGTAGAAACATCTGCTCACCTCTGGCTGTAGGTGTACAAACAGTGTATTGTCTTGACAGTTCTCTGCTGAGGTACCACAAGCATCAGTGAGTCCAAAATGACAAAAGAAATCTCACTTGAATATTAGTCACACAATGTCACGCATTGTAGAATTAAGCAATGACAGGACGTTATGACAACTGGAAGTCTATTATATAAATCATTAATGCCAGTCTCTCCAGTACATGTAATACATAATGTACCTACAAGTGTGATAGACAGAAACAAAGACATAGATTTGACTTTTTGCTTTGTGTTTTGAAATGTGAAAGTTCAATCAGCTAATAAAAAACCCAAAAGTGTTTTTCAAATTTAGGAAAGGATGCAAAAACTTAGAAGGGACTTAATGACTTTGGTTCAACCTGTTCCAGATTAATTCAGTCCAACTAAATGTTAATGTAGCGTAAAACCAAGGTGTGAAATCAACCACATAAATAACCGAGGGACAAAAATGTTAAAAAAAATCGTATTTATATTCTATATGAAACTCAGATTGAGGTCATTCAAAAGTTGCAACTTCAAAGTTATTAGAAAACGTGTCCCTGCATATTATTGTAATTGTCATTATCTACAACATTTAATGATCAGGAACAATAATGTAATGGCGCAATACTCTCAGAGTATGTGCAATAACGTCCCTGAAGCAGTTAGTTTCTGCTCTTACTACAACTTGAATGTTAAAAGAAATATTAAAATCCTTTTGATGTTTGGTTGAAACTGCCCACTACACAGATCCAACTGAAAAAAGACAAACTGAGAATCGACTGAAGGAGACTTTTTTTCCCACTGAAGTTCGACTCTCGGGATTGAGCACTTTGAAGTTGTAGAGCGAGCGGACACGGAGGCATTTATCACACTGTAATTATTGCTAATTAGTAAATTTGTCTAATAATCTAATCCGGAAGGAAATCTTATTAGGAGGGGTTTTACTTTTACTGCGTCTGCTGCCAGTGCTTTCGTCTGAATGTGATTTGGTCTTGAGGATGCTTGAGTTCAATATGAGACACAATGTAATGCAGTTACTTTTGCTTTGGAGTCAAAAAAGTTTTCACTACTGCTGATCACATAAATATGAGAAAAGATGACTTGTTTGTTTCACTTCCACAAATGATTATGCAAGTGTGAATTTCTATAACTTTATTCCAAAGAAGTCAAGGAGAGAACGGCTGCTTCTCCATCTCCGACGCAGCATGCTTTATTACCCAGAGGGCACAGTGCTTGGTCAGTCGGCTCAGACAATGTGGAAATCCTTCATAGAGACCCACTGTGACCAATGAATGGATCAAAACCGGAAAATAAGCTGGAGCGTGTTTATCAGCGAGCCTCTTTAGATCAGTGCCCTTTCAAAGCAGCTTTAGTTTGCACCCGCTGGGAAATCGAAGGGAATTAGATGTCATTCTTTTTCTCCGAAATAAAACCCGCCTGTTTCTGAGAGTTAAATCTTTGTGGGCAAACAGTAACATAAGCAGCGGTGCTGAATGGAGTTCTCCTCTCCACAATGGGGATTATGGTATGATAAAGCTGCAATAACACTTGTTGTTGATGCTGTGGGGGAGGGTGCAATTTATAACGGACATAATGTATAAGTATGATGGATCCATGTCCTCTCAGGCTGAGCTTCTGAACTTGAAATGAATTATATATTATTTAGCTGACGCTGAATTAAAAGTCCATTGTGTAAGATTTAGGGGAAAGAGATCTATTGGCAGAAATTGAATATGAAATAATCCTTGTAATGGTTTCACTAGTGTGTAATCATCTAAATTGTACAAATTGTTGTTTTATTTAACCTAGAATGGACCCTTTATATTTAAAACCCTCTTTTATATATGTTGATTTGTGTACTTACATTAGCTGAAATGTTTCTCACACTGTCCAAACCCTCAACAATTCTCAAATGTATGATAGATTTTTGTTGCCTTTTAATCGCATCATATTTGCTTTACCTGTGTTTTTTGTCTGTCTCTGACTTAACTTCTAGGGCAAATGACGTATGATGTAAAAAACACACTGCTAGCCAGTGGCGGAGGTGTGCTCTGTATTTATTGCCATTCTAGTTTGAATTACTTTAAGTGGTGTGGACACGCTGTCCACATTCATTTCCATGATGAAATAAAATTGTATGCAACGTTATTTCCTTACAGTCATTCAAATTGTCCAACAACAAACAAGGGACAGATTCAATTTATGGCCATTCAATGACAAAAGCCAATTTCCCCAACACTCAACTTGCTCAGGTGACCCTGTTTGTCCTGTGTTTATTACAATCGTCAATTTTCTTTCTATTAATTTATGAAGATTTATATTTTGAAAGCATGTCAACTAGAGATGGGGCCAATTCTGCTGAAGGTTTTCTTGTAAGATACATAATGTTTTCACCAAAACAGCAACGGGTTTGTAGGATAATGGTTGATATCTTTATATTTTAGAGGGCACATGGTAAATCCATTACATTGGCCAGAGCTTTGGTTTTTCATAGGACATCTCTCAATCATTGTCCATGAGACGCTTCTGGAAAACCACAATCCCTGATGAATATGATTGATGTCACCACTCAGTGTAATGGTCAAACCATGAAGCTGCCAGTTCACTTGATGAAAGTTAATGATGCAGACATTTGTGCTGTATAAGAGAAGACTGGCCTGCAGGAGTTAATGGAGACAAGACTTTCTGAGACCTTGACTCCTGCTCAGCAAAGGTGCAGGTTACTATAACTTAAGATCCATAATTTATCATGAAACATATGTTTATAAAAGTCAACCTTGTCCTATAAACGGCTACAACCCAACACAGGAACATCCTGAGCCTTAGGTTACATCAATACAACTCACCTAACTTAAACACCAGGTTATATTTGGAGAATACATGCTTTTACCTCTGCATTATTTTGAGGTTCCTGTTGGGAGGCACATTTTAAAATTAGATTGG